AGGTGCATTGTCCTGCATGAAAATAGGAGATTCATAAAGATTATGGTGTAATCTTGGTACCACATGCTGCTGAAGAAGCCTTTTGTAAATCCCAGCATTGATATTGCCATGTACGCGGATGATAGGGCCAATTCTCTCAGATGAAATCATTTCACACCATCACACTGCCGCCACTAAACTTAACGGTTTTCTTGACACGTTGAGAAGACAGTCTTTCACTTGTTCTATGGCGTACGTAAGTTTTGCCCTCAGAACCAAATATAGTAAACTTAGACTCGTCACTGAAATAAACTGTATCCCATTGTGTGTCAGTCCAAACAACATTTTCTCTCGCACACTCCAGGCGTGCCCTTTGGTTTCGTTTTGAAATGAGAGGCTTCGAAACCGGAATATGGGCATGCAATCCTGCATTTTTTAACATGCGAGCAACCGTTTTCCTTGAGATCTTATTATCTGTCTCTTCATTAAATTTACGGGCAATTGATGTAGCAGTTTCAAAACGGTTTTTTGTAGATATTCTAACAATTCTTCGATCTTCTCTTTGCGATATTTTTGGAGGTCTGCCGGTTTTTGGTTTTGCATCTAACGTTTTATCAGTTTTATACCTGCTAATTACACGATGAACGACACTTTTAGACCTATGAACAATATCAGAAATTTCTGAAATTGACTTTTTTTCTTGATAGCGATAATAAGTTTTTTTTTCTTCAAAAGAGAGCGTTTTGCGTGTAAAATTTGCCATATTGCTTAAAAATAAAGTCTTAATGATAAATGAACTTTTACTTATTGTTGAAAAGCTCCATCGAGTTTTTTAACAATGTAAATTAAAAGTGTATGCAAATTATTAACATCGTTCCTTAAATTTTCTCCAGTAGCTTATTTCCTTTGTTCCATTTAATCTTTATTTTAAAAAAAAACTATAATGTAAATTTTTGTAACTTTGTATAATATTTATGCATTACACCCTAATCTTTATTCGGTAAAAATTTAATTAGTTCCATTTCATCTTCAAGCAAAATTCGCTTGAAGATGAAATGGAACTAATGCTTTTAATTTAATTGCAAAATTAAATTCGGGGTTTTTAGCTTCTATTTTTGAAACATGGTTGGAACTGTGTAGCGAAAATAAAACATATTTTAAATTAATTAATTTTATATATATATATATATATATATATATATATGTAAAAGTGAACATTGAAGTCAAAACTCAGAGGCGACAGGCTGTTTCATGCTGGACGCAATCGTCAGGCCGCCTGACAATTGCGCCTGGCATGAAACAGCCAATATTCTGAGTGTTGGAGTCAATGTTCTTTTATATTTATACTCACATACGCTATCTCTGAGCACTTTATCCCATAAATAGAGCACAACTTACAACTATATTTCTTCATACACACACACACACACACACATATATATATATATATATATATATATATATATATATATATATATATATATAAGTGTGTTTATGAGTGTCTGAACAGATTTAATATAACTGTTTATCATACCTCCAGTGTTTTTGTCGAAACTGACCATTTCTTTCATAGAGATCCTGTGTTCAGCTAGTCACTTACACACACGCTCGTCAGTGTCGTGTGATTAAAACGAGTGTGTGCGCGTGCGAGTGGGCGGGATTTCTGCCAGCATTGTCTGTCGTGTTATGAATAAATGTTTGACAAGAAATTGAGACCGTCACGGATGCCAACTTATAGGCAAACTGACTGGCAGGCATAGCAAACACGCAGCTGATTGGTCGGTATTTGTCATGGGATCACCCCCGCCTTGTCTACTATAATATCCCTTTTTCTCACTTGCCCTCGTTTCTTTTTTTTTTTTCTGTAAACATTACCAGTTTCATGTAGAGTGTCGTCCGGACAGACATGTACAAACAATTTCAGTTACGTATCAACACCAATAAAAAAAAAATAACAATGGTTGGAACACCCAGTAATTATATCTAAAAGAAAAAGTAAAATGACCCCGGTTTTTATGTTGTATATACAAAAAAAACCCCAAAAAACAAAAATAAAACCCCAGGTCGTTTCTATTTAATTTTTTTTATTTATCTCATACATTCTACATTCCTTTTAATTTCATACATTCTACATTCCTTTTAATTTCATACATTCTACATTCCTTTTAATTTCATACATTCTACATTCCTTAATAATGTTTCAGTATTTATTAGCATTGATTCAGCTCTGTTGAGTGAAGTTTGAAACCAGTTAGCTAGCTCGGTTTTCATTTTTTTTTCATTTGTTATCCTGTGTGTTAATATTAAAAATATGTTTTAACTGTTTACATTCACTTACATTGCTAATACCCTTGGGAAAGGTGTGAATCCTCTTCATCTCCCTCCAGCTATGGGTAAATAGCAGGACAAACTAGGTTCTATAGCCTTGGATGGCAACTGGTCTAGGAGAAGGACAACTTTGAATTCAAAACCTGCGGAGGGTCGTTTGGGGACCTTGTGGCACGTAGTGCACCAGGTCTCTGTAATCGGCCCTTCAAAAATTGTGGATGGTCCTGCACGAAGCATTCACCACTATAATCGAATCTCATGTGCCGGTGTCGGGCTGTCGGTTTCCTGGGAACTGATCTGCTTGACCCCTCATACGTTGAATTCGACGGGGAGGGAGTCGACTATATATATATATATATATATATATATATATATATATATATATATATATATATACTAAATACGTCGGATAATAGCAAACAAATTAGTATCCGAGGAAAAGAAAATTCGGTATCCGAGGAAAAGAAATTGGAAAAAAAAAACGTCGGATAGCACAAGTTGTATCCGAGGAAAAGTCTAGCAAAAAAATTAGTATCCGAGGAAAAAAAGAAAAAAATTCCGAGGGAAAAAATTAGTATCCGAGGAAAAGAAATTGGAAAAAAAGAAAGAACTAGAAACATCCGAACAGGGCGAAATAAATCTTCCAGTGTCGTAAGTTTTTAGTTTAAAAAAAAAACAACAAAAAAACAAGCGAGTAATAAATCTAAAACGAAGAGTGCTCAATACGCTAAGTAGAGCAAGGATAAATGAAATAAATCCTAAAGAGCCAGGAACAACCTACCTAGCTTTCACCTAAACGGATCTTCAGGTTACCTTACATATATATATATATATATATATATATATGTAAGCAAATATATGGATATAGATCCGACAGTATGAAGAAAATATACGGAAAAAACAAACAAAAATCCTAATATGCAATTATGCTGTTTTAATGTTAAAATTAATAGACCATCTTCAGGACATATTCATAAAACAAAATTAACATAGACCATATTCAATTCAACATGAAAAAGACGATGGACATAAGAGCAAGACCAATCCAAACAGATGACTGAAATCTTTTATAAGATCAGCGTTCTGTTTAAATATGATCACGTCCAGACGGGCTAAACCATAAATTTAACAATATAGATAGTATTAATATATAGCTCTACAAATCAAAACCTACCCACATTTTTCACCCACACAAGACGGACATGCCTACGGAGGTGTTGAAGCCTCACACTTATACACACACCCACACGAACATAGACACATCATACTCACTCACTACCTAATGAGCCAAATGATAACACACATCCACAGCAATATACACACTTACACATATCATACTCACTCACTACCTAAGAACCAAATAACACACACACACACACGCACACACACACTTAACAGAGACACATCCCCTCTCCAGGAACCAATAAAACTGTCAAACTGACCAGGGGAATTCAGAGCAGCATAGATCCATCCAGCTCTTATCTCAAATAACGACTTAAAAGAGACTGTTTGACCAACACAAGGAATGTTAAAAGATTCATGTTAAAAAGATAAAAAAAATAAAAAAACAAATGAAAACTACAGACAAAAGTTCATTTTCTCCATCAAGACATTCATTTCTGTAGTTCACTGCTACCAGCAAGCAGAAATATTTCTTCTCCTGATGATGACCATGTTGGCCGAAACTAGTGGAGGAATCTAAATGAAATAATAATAATAAAAACGAAAGAATATTAATCTACAACCTAGTGTGTCTGAAGATTTTAAATTTTTAATGTTTTTTTATTTTTTATATATATATATATATATATATATATATATATATATATATATAACAATGTTCAAACACCGTTGAATATTTGACATTATGTGTGCATACCGATCTAACCATATATACTGCATTTGTCCATTATGCATCCAGTCATCTATATCCCTTTTCTATGAAACGTGTCCGTTCACTACGTGGACAATAATGGATCTCCACAGTTTCCTATCCCTTGTGGCACTTAGCAGCACTTCTCCCACTATCAAACCTCCCTAATTTTGGTGTCGCATAGTGAAAACAGACTACAAAGAGAATTAATGTTTTACTCCCATTCATAGTATCGCACTTGATATCTCACACACTTAGCTTTGGGAAAAGTAAGACGATGAAAAAATGTAACATGAAAATTTGGTGACACACATGAATAGCAAAAAAGATGCCTCTCAGAAACTAAGCAACATTCAATTAGTAATAAAGAAAATACTTCTGAGCTGCTATAAATATCTAATCTACAATATAGCGGGCGGCTGTTGAACAATCCCATCACAGATGAGTACTTGAAACGACAGAGATGTGGTTCCTTCGACTACGGCCTAGAATACCATGGACGAAACATTTGAATAATGAAGAAATTTTAAGAAGAATAGGAATTAAAAAAGTGTTGCTAGTCAATGAGAAAGAGAGAGATGAAATTCCTGAGATATATATTTAGGAAAGAAAAAAGACTTGAACATTTATTTGAAGTGATCTATCCATCTGAGTATTTCCCGTATCTCATCAAATATTCCATACATCTCTGGAAATCACCCTGTTAGATAAAAAGATTCTCGTTATCAATCACTTTTCTTTTAGGAAACCATTTCATGTTTTCTATTATTTATGAATGATCGGTCCCAATTTTAAATAATTTTATGTCAATATTTTCTAGAATTTAATAGTTATTTTGATAATAAGCATTCTATTTATTCTCTTGTCTCTTTCGTTTCATTCTTTGACATTTCACCATATTCATAATTCTTTTCTTTCTTTCTTTCTTTCTTTTCGCTCTCTTACATATTCTTTCTTTTCGCTTTCTTGTTTTTTCTTTCATTTTCGATCTCATTTTCCTTCCTTCCTTCGTTCGTTTCTTTCTTTCTTTCTTTCTTTCTTTCCTTCTTTCTTTCTTTCTTTTCGCTCAATTATTTGTTCTTTATTTTCACTCTTTCTTTCTTTCTTTCTTTCTTTCTTTCTTTCTTTCTTTCTTTCTTTTCGCTGTATTATTTGTTCTTTATTTTCACTCTTTATTTCTTTCTTTCTTTCTTTCTTTCTTTCTTTCTTTCTTTCTTTCTTTCTCTTTTTACTTCCTTTGTTTCTCAGTTAATTCAAATGCATGGAATATTCCCCGTTTTTCTTAATTTTCTTCTACAGCAAAGATTTTTCACATTTTTTAAAACACATTACAATCCCCTAATAAGGAAAATGAAGGTTTCCAAAGCTAACGAAATGGTTCAACTGAACACGCCCCAGAATTAAAAAAACAAACAAGAAAACAAAAACAAACAAAAAACAAAACAAAAACAAAGCATATCCTAACTTGAAATCCCCACTGAATCCTTCAGCCCGTTTACTACTTGTCATATTTTTCTCATCTGCTACAACTGTCAAAATTTTAAAATACACCAGACGGCAATATAAATAATTTTTCTCTCAATCAAATGCAGGCGTATATCATTTTTTGCAATATTCATTAATAAGAACAAAAATGAAACTAAAAGACAGACTGGAGCTGTTCGGAAATCTCTTATCTATGCCATTGCGTCATATGACGTCATTCCTATGAGAGTCGATGTTAAGAACGTCGTTCGCTTGTTTTAGCAGAAAACAAACGAAGCGTGTGTTGATAAAAGGAAATGAGCTCCTAACGCGGGGCCATGTGTTGCAATAAAAAGTCTCTGAAAATGACAAGCGTCGATAAACAATTTTGGCGAGAATTCATAGAGCGGCCGGAAATCGTGATAATCGCATTATTGCTGGAGTTAAGGCAGAGATGCGGAAATAAAAAAAAACAAAACAAAAATAAAACGAGAGAGTAGGATTAAAAAGAAAGACATAAATATAGATAGATAGATAGAGAGAGAGACAAGATATATATATATATATATATATATATATATATATATATGTATAAAGCAAGAGAGAAAAAGAGAGAGAGAGAGAAAAAGCAAGGACATGCGCAAAACAATAACCAACATTGAATATTATCGTTCCACGTTTTAAAGATAATAGCTACTTATTTATACAGACCCATACATGCATATATATATATATATATATATATATATATATATATATATATATATATATGCTGGTGGGTCAAATGTAGAACCTCGAAAACCAAACTAGCGATATTCCACCATTACCGATCGGACCCAGAACCTTCACCAACCACGATGAACGGGTGTTCTCTCTCGGAGGCCACGTACCTTGAGAACCTATTGGAATTTAAAATCAGCTCAGACCTCAAGTGGAACTCGAACATACGATCCATCATTAAATATGCTGGAAAAATGGTCGTTTTCCAGTACCACTCCCAAAGGTACCCGATTCCTCCTGCTATCTTCTACGTTGAAAAGAACCAGATCAAACCGAAAATGGAGTACTGTTGTCATATATGGACAGGAACTGGCCAATCTTCACTCTCGACTCTCGATAGAATCCTTGTGTGTAACGAATTATTTTCCATCCTACAACCTTATGGAAATTGTTCAGGTGAACTACACTCCAATTCCACGAGTCCTAACCTTCACGGTGAAGACCTGACATGCGACGCACATTGTAGCAAACCACTCTCATTTCCTTCGCATTCCTTTGGCTCGATGTAAGTTCCACTCACTGATTTTTCCCACGAACACCTGTCTTGTGGAACAGACACCCAAGAGGTTGCTTTCCCGATAACTACAATCTTAACCTGTTCAATTCTACGATTAACCGTTATGTTCCACACATAAACGCATAAACTATGTCTCTTACTCTCGGGTGGCCTTTGGACTATGTAAAGCGCAATTCTCATTGTAATATTTATTCTCCCTGCTTCCTCTAACCTTACAGACGTGAACTATACAGGGGTTGAAAAAAAACAGACGACCACTTTCGTCGTCTGCAGAAATAAACTATTCCCCATATGAGGTAAAGTTTGTTTGATTTGTTTATATTATATATATATATATATATATATATATATTTGGTTTGATAGATGTGAGTTTGTGACCCTGGGTTTCACGCTTTTATATTTATATACACTTTTTATATATATATATATATACACACACACATATATATATATATATATATGCATGTGTGTGTATATAAACACACACATATATATATAAATACACACAAACACATATATATAAATACACACACATATATAAATACACACACACACACATATATATATATAGCACACACACACACACACCTATATATATATATAAACACACATATATAAACACACACACCTATATATATATATATAAACACACATATATAAACACACACACTGATATATATATATATATATATATATATATATATACATAAATGCAGCAAATATTTTTATATATAGTGCTTAATATGAAAACTATTAAAAATAGAGCATTAATAATCTATAAAATGATTACTTAACTTTAAATATCAATTCTTTGAAAACAACAAAAATTTTATATTTAAAATTTTCTAAATAGATATATATATATATAAGAGAGAGAGAAAGAGAGAGAGAGAAGAGGGAGAGAGAAATTTTTGAGAAATATTGCTGTGTAAGATATTTTTTTCATCATTATGCTACATACTTACTATGCAGCCGTAATGATGAAAACTTTTTATTTAACACAACAAAATTTATTTTTCATTATAATCTCCTTCCGTCTTCCTCGAGACTATGTGAGATTAGAGGATCTGATATCAACAATAAAAAAAAATCTACTTTTTGTTTTTCTACGATCAAAATTTTGTTAGAAACAAAGAAAAGAGAGCTGGATTTCTATGTAATATCGATCCTCTTATATGGCAGTGAACACTAGGCAATCTCCCTATGGACGAGGAAAATAACTACAAGCAACAGAAATGAGGTTCTACAGAAGATACTAAAAGTTCCATGGACGGAGAGAGAGAGAGAGTAAGCACCATGGAAGTCTTAAAGAAAATTGGAGCAGAAAGAACACTTATACTCAGAACCAGGAAAAATTAGCTGAAATTCCTTGGACATATGAGGAAGAAGGGTTTGGCATAATTGCCTACGCACGTAGAAGAAGATTTCTGCTTTATAATTTCATAGGTAACACTGCAGTGTTTTTTATTTATTTTCAAATGGATCGATTTTATTCTGCTTTGCTATTAGGATCAGCTTTCTACTCTTGGTTATTATATACACAAGCTTTTGTACTTTGTACTCTCGTACCTTCTTCCGGTTCCTGTCGACGTACACGTTAACCTTCTTGGAATTTCGAACAAAACCTTGTATTCAATTCACGGTGGTAGATTGTTCTAATTCCGCTTAAGGCATATTTAAGACTAGCAGGTTTCTTTCAACTTGCTTCTGCTTCCCAGTTTCTTCCGCTGAACATGACTATTTAATTCCAGCATATATTTGGTTTTCTGGAAGTTGCGGGTTCAATTCCTGGGTTTGGTACTCTACTTTAGTGGATTCATTTGTTTTTTTTACGGCTTATCAAATATTTACAGGTTATTTAAAGCAAGAGAATATTTTTTAGATTGTAAGAATTTTTTTGGCGATAATAATGATTTAATCTCGGGTAGATGGAGCTCTACAATCCAGGAAGGCAGTAAATCCAGATAAAGTAAACCCTGATTTTAAACCTCCTGTTATGAAGTAGAGTACTCTCTGGGATAGACGTTGTTAGGTCAACAGATGATAGCTCGACTGGCATTCGTTGTGGCGTTTTGCTTTTATAGTAGTATCTCATTTACATACAATACTACACTTGCTGAACCGAAATGGCCTTATACCTTACATTTATCTTTGACTTTTTCTCATTATTCTTGGGAATCTAAACTGTCTTTCTTGGTGTGCATCTTGATTTCTTCTTACGAGGCACCTAGGCCTGAGTTCATTTTCCTCTTCTAGCCCTTCGTCGGATTTCTGGTCATTATCATCCATAGATTGTTTAGTTTCTCTACTGGATTCATTAGTCCCCTATTTCCCTTCATGTTCTTCACCTTAAGATTCTTCGTCTATTTCTAAATCCTCAGATTCCATTCGGCTTCCAAATTGATCCGCATGGGCCAGTATATTTTGTCCATTTTCGTTAGTATGCTGTGTTGTGTCTTTTCTGTACTACAAAGTTCGCCTTTTCTGGATTAGATTCTTTGTCTTTTTTATGCCATACACTTTCACTTGTTGAAAATGACATTGTTATAAGAGCTCCAATCTGCCTACCCATTAATGCGGAGGGACTTTGTAGTTTGCCGGCATTCGGAATTGTCCTATAGTTTAACAAAAGTCTTGGTAAGTAACTTTCTATATTATCATTAGATGGAGAAATGCTTTTAGTCCCATTTTCAAAGTTTGCAGAATTCTTTCTGCTTTTCCATTCGATGGTAGGTGGTAAGGTGGTGTTTTATACGGGATACAAGTATTTCCTCGCAAGTATCTGGCGTGTTGTCTGAGACGAAAGTATTAGGCATCCCATTCCTTGAAAATATTGCTCTTAATATTTGTTTTACTGTAGTGGCTTTTCTGCCAGAAATCTTAATTACTTCGGGCCATCCTGAAAATGAGTCCACTAAAATTAAAAATAGTGTCTTTTTTAAGCGTTCAAAAGCTATATTTTGCTTTTGTGTCGATTTAAATTCTGTATTCTTTTCCCGTAATTCTGCAAATGGTTCTATTAGGTCGTTGTATCTCGGTAGATATTTGCTATAAAAATTGGTCAATCCTCAAAAGGAATCTAATTCTTTTTTATGTTTTGGTATAGATACTTCTCATATTTTTTTTGTTAGTTTGTCTGGTGAAATTGCTTCTTTAGTTATTTGCTATACCAAATACAATATTTTGTCACAATTTACCTCATGTTTATCGCTATTTATCGTCATACCAGCATCTTTTAATTTGTTTAAAACTTGTTATTTTAAAAAAATTCCTCCTTACTGCTAGCAACTGTGCCTACACCGTCTTGATATATGGTTATATTTTTTACTCCCTCTGATAGAACTTTTTCAATTGCCTTTTGAAAATATGGCTTGAAGTCTTAACTCCAAACGGAAGGTGAATTCATCTTAGTAAGTCTATCTTTAATGATTTAAATTTTTTCGTCAATTTCTATTTGATTATATGCCGATTTCAGGTCAATCTTGGCAAAA